ACTTGGAAGCCATTGGTGGCTTCTAGCAAGGCAGTAAGGATTTGGATTTGTCAAACACCATTGAAGGGGAAAATATGAACTGTGGCTCAGTGGGTCACACTCTCACCTTGGAGTCAGGAGGCTATGGGTTCAGTGCTGAGGGACTAGGCACTATCGGAGGGTCAGTGCTGAGGGAGCAGATGCTGTTGAAGGGTCAGTGTTGAGGGAGTGCTGCACTGTTGGATGGTCGGTGCTGAGGGAGCAGGCACTGCCAGACGATTGGTGCTGAGGGCATGTCACACTGTCAAAGATGCTGTCCTTTTGATAAGATGTTGAAAGGAGACCCCTTCTGCCCTCTCAGGTAGATGTAATGATTCCATGACACATTTTTCAACGAAGCCCGGGGGCCTTGTCCCGATGTCCTGGCCAATATTTATCCTTCAATTGACATCACTAAAACATTAACTGGTCATCATCACATTGATATTTGTTGAGGGGGGCAGTTGTTTGCTGAGCACAAATTGGCCGCTTTTTTTCTTACATTACGACAATTATTACATTTTAATAGTATTTCATTTATTTCAAAGTGCTTTGGAATATCCCGGGAAAGGTTCTGTGGAAATGGAAATGCAGTTTTTCTAAGCTACCATTATGAGTCTACAGGCACAAGATCTGTTTGATGGTTGCTGGTGGAGGTGGAGATGCATGAAGCAGGTGTGAGGAGAATTGCCCTTTAATCCTCTCCTATATGAGCATCACTGTAGGTTAGTGTTGCAGCATATACACAAGGAAGTAGCGGCAAGTTTAAGAGCTGAGCTTAGCAACACTCTCAGGGGTAGCCCTGTGCTGTGTGATAGCCAGAGCTCTGCATCCAGTTCTCTAAGAACCATTGTCAGAGACTCAGGCCAGAACCTGTAGATCTGGTTGCTGGCAACCAACCAAACAATAATGAAGGGTCTAGGCCCGAAACGTCAGCCTTCCTGCTCCTCTGATGCTGCTTGGCCTGCTGTGTTCATCCAGCTCTACACCTTGTTATCTCAGATTCTCCAGCATCTGCAGTTCCTACTATCTTTTAAACAATAATGCAGTTGTTCCTCATCTTAACGCATTGCCAAACAATGGGGGAGAACATCCAACTTGCTCAAGTGTTCACATTGGGTGTAGTTGCTTTCCGTGTAGTTAGTTAATTGGTGCCTTTAAAACCAAGAAACATCCCAAGATATCTCACAGCAACATTGCCAAAAAATGTATACTGAGCCAAAGAAAGATTTACTGGGAGGGTCATTAAAAAGTTGAATGGGGTAGGTAAAGGTGCATCTTAGGGTAAGGAGTAGAAAGCCAGAGAGGTTTCAGGAGGGAGCTGTAGAGCTTGTGACCTCTTGGCTGCTGACGGCAATGGTAGAATGATGGAAAGTGTGAGATACTCAAGAAGCCAGAATTAGAGACTGGGGATGAGGTGTTGTCGCTGCTGGTGAGTTAGAAATTGGGTAGCCTTGCAGGGATTGAAGCATGACGATGAGAAACATGATGGAATTGAGTTGGCAGGATTTGAAATATTTTGTTTTAGTGCATTTTCCACCAAGATTGCACCCCTCTGACCCCATTCTGTGTCCAATTGTGGTCTGGATAAAATGTGCCAATCCTAAGGTGGCCCTGGTAAGTGAGAGCTCAGATTTCCACTCCCTGCATTAAGTTGGCACTACAACTACCTGGTACCATATTGGCAGAAACGACACTGAAATAAACTTTCTGAAAAATAAACTTGATTTTCACATTTGAGACAACATAAAAATGGAAACTCTAAGGGCTCTTGTGGTGGTGGCCCTACCTCTGAGCCAGAAGATAGAGGTTCAGGTCTCACCTGTCTCAGAGGTGTGTCACAGCATGTGTGAACAAATTGATTAAAAGTAGCTACAGTGGGTATCCCCAATTTAAACAGCTTAGTTATATTCAGAATATCCTCAGAAAATATCTTGAATGGCTGCCGTAGAACATAAAAAAGTTTTTTTTTGTGCGGGACAATGGTCATGCTCCAACCTCTGAGCCAGGGGGCCTGCTTTCAAGTCCATCTGCTCCAGACATGTGTAATAACATCTTTAAGCAAGTTGAATAGGAAATATCTCTACAAATGGAAACTACGAATTACCCATTTAAACGAGAGGTGGACGACAATTTAGTTACCCTGCGTATTTTTTGTCGGCTAATTCTCCACCCCGCCGCCTTGGTTGGTTTTTAGGAGCTGGCGTGCAACCTATTGTGATAGTCCCTGTTCCTTGTGATTGACGTTACAGACAGCCAATCACAGAGTGAATGCAACCTGATCAGCCAAACAACAGCTCAGTAAAGCAGACTCGGTGGTGACAAGTTAGGTTGAGCGGAGGCGGTCTTCCTGTTCGCAGTTAAAGGAGCTGGTGAGTGAAAGGAATTGTTATTTATTTTTGGTTGGGTTTAAAATGCTTTGAAGATATAATTCCCATTTTTTTTAAAGAAGGGTAGATAAATTAAGTGTTAACATGTCCCTTTTAACCGCCTTTGCGTTTAAGGGGCGCTGTCTTCAGGACCTGTCTTCCGAAAAACCAGCCAATTCCATCATCGCCCTTTTCTGAGTATCTTGTTTAATTTTTTTTTACAACAAGTCATGAAACATTTTTGAAAATACTTGGTCCTCGCTAGCCACCGATTTCAACTTTGGTAGGATTTTTTTTCTGGCAGATGATGCACTTTGCCTGTTGTTAGTGGTTTTAAAGGGATCATTTACCTATTACATAAAATGCTAAACGTTTATTTTAAAGTTGATCCAGAATAATTTGTTATAATGTCAAACACAAGTCACATTATTAATGCTTTCAACACTATTCATCTCTTGGCTTGGTCAATTCGCCAGAGTACCTGACCCCTTCTTGCAAGGAGCAAGTCCATAAAACTTGAATGAAGGTTGTTAGGAGTCAAGAATATGGAATCCCAAATACATCTAGGGAAAGATCAAACAAATGAAATAAAAACACATATTGTTAAGTCAGAGTACTGCCGTTGCTTGTTCAACTATGGAATCACTTCCAGATTTAGCTGGGTGAAATTCGCTGGGCTGATATTTGAGTCTTCAGTAATGCCCTCAGTTATTGTGGAGCTGGTTGGCTCAGGTATTACTCTTATGAATCTGACATGCAGGCCATTAATTTCATTGCTGATGAAATTATTTGGATCTTTATCTCCCCAAGAGATCTACCTGTTCCTCCTCTGAGGAAGTTACAATTTCAAATAAATGAGAACTTGTTAGCCACTTTTACACCGCTTAAAGAGTGATTGGCCTAGTCTAACTCTTACCACCGTGCAGCTGATTTTACTGCTTCTCCACATGCAGGTGGTCAAATGCCTAAATTTCACCAGTGAATTTCCAAAATAAGCTAATTCAACGATACATCTACTGTTAGGTGTAATTCCATAATTGGGCAGCATTTGCTGGACAGTCTTGCGAGCACTCCAAGTTACAAACCAATTTAAGATAATCAGTCTGGCTCATAACGTGGCTCATCTAGAATTGTTGGAAGCAACATACATTTATTGACAGGGTGCAGAGCTGGATGAACACAGCAGGCTAAGCAGCATCATAGGAGCAGAAAGGCTGACGTTTCGGGCCTAGACCCTTTTCTCTGCAAACAAAAGGAATCTGTTCAAGCTTTGCGCCTTTTTTGAATTACCCGGGAGCTCGGGGAGCCTTGAGTTCACAGTTGCTTTCTCCATGGCAGTGCCTTGGCCAATCAGAATATTTTGCCAACCAAGCCACACCCATTCCTTCTGTGGTATAAGTTATTGCAATTGTTTGAAATTTGTCCTGTTAAGTGCAAGACCAAAAGTTTCAACACTTCATCAATGAAATTTGCTGAAAAGGGAGATATCACCTTGATCTAACTGTGGAGTCTATGAATTTAGTGGGTTGTCTGTTTATTTTAGACAACTTGTTTCTATATAGTGCCTTTTAATATGATAAAATGCCCTGAGGTGTTTCATGGGCAATTATCTGAGAAAAAAATTGAAATAAGAAGTAGGGCAGATGACCAGTAACTTGGTTAACCAGGTAGGCTGGAAGGGATGATTTAAGTTGGAGCAAAAGTTTCAAGGAAGTAATTCCAGAACTTAGGGCCAAGGCAAGTGGAGGGTGATGGGTGTCAGTTAGGATATAAGCAGCAAAGCTTTAGTTGAGCTCAGGTTTGTAGAATTAGAATTAGAATTAGAATTAGGTTTTATTATCATGTTTATTCAAGTACAGGGATACAGGAGTACAATGAAAAGTTTACAATGTCACAATTCATGGCGCCATCTTAGGTACAAAGTGCCTAGGTACAAAATTTTAGGTAAAAAGTAGAAAAATAAAGAAATAAGTTAAAAGTTCAATATTACAGTTCTCGTCAGTATAAAGTAGTATATAGGAAATAAAGTTAAAAGTTCCAAATTACAGTCCTTCTTTAGCCTGGGGCTTGCAGTCGCTCCACACTGGGCTTTCCCTGTGAGGACTCAATCTCTCTACCACACTGGGTAGAAGGTTGGAACTTAAGCACTTACGTAAGGTTTACATAAGGTAAATTGTTTGGGATCCATACCTTTTAACTGCATTTTTCCTGACACGGCCTGTCATTCCCTGTCCCCTAACATTAGCCATCTTCTGCATAATTGCAGCACAGATCACAACAGGAAAATGCCCAGCTTCAAACTTTGTCACAAATAGGAAGTACATTGTCACCTTGATAAAAAGCTGCACCAACTATTTTATGCTGTACCATGTGACACAAATTATGGCAGGATGTATAAGACCCATTTAAATGACAAGATGGTGGAAAACGTGGGGCAGTCCTGCCAATGGCGCAATAGAGCTGGCAAAATGCGCAAATAGCACAAATGCACCAGCAGGGCAATTTCATCCTGAATGTGGCAGTTTTGCATTGTCTGGAATGAGACTGCCAAGTTTATTTTGCACTGGACATAGACTTGAATCTTTTGGCATCTCCTCACCTCAGTGTGGTTGCAATCAGAGATCCACCACAAGGCCATGTTGGTGAAGCTCAAGTATGTCCACAGCCTTGGTTTCTCCTCTCCTCACTGACCCATGATCGAGGAGTTGGGCGTATGGTGCAGGGAGAGGAGCATTGCACTGTCAGAGGTGCTGCCTTTCAGATGAAACATTAAACTGAGATTCCTGCCTATCCTGTCAGGTGGACGTTGGAGATTCCACTGGCACTATTTTGAAGAAGAGCGGGAAGAGTTTTCCCTCGTATCCTGGAACCGTCATTCTCCTTCAACAAACATCATTATCAGAAACAGACTTAATAGTTATTCAATCTCATTGCTGTTGGTGGAATTTTGTGTGAGGTGAGCAAATTGACTGGTCAGATAAGCGAAAGGCTCAACTTGCTGTTCATGTATGTCAATTTTGCATTAAAAATCTTTAGAAGGAATGCAGGTACTGGCTTTGGATAGAATCTGAGCGGTAACATAACTCACCCATTGCGCAATAATTGAAAAACCATGTTTGACTTTTACTGTTACTGTTTTGGCATAAACTTTTATCGGTTCACTTTACCCGATTGTGCAGATAGATGCCAGCAGCTGAGTGAAGGACAGAGCATGAGGACCACTTTCCTTTTTTGAACTTTCCCCTTCTTTAAAGTAGGAGACAGGATGAATGTTGGTGTCGCTCACAGTGAGGTTAATCCAAACACCCGGATAATGAACAGCCGGGGAATCTGGCTGGCCTACCTCATTTTAGTCGGAATTCTCCACGTCGTCCTGCTGAGCATTCCATTCTTCAGCATTCCTGTGGTGTGGACTCTTACTCATGTCATCCATAACTCGGTGAGTCACAGTGAATGGGTTGGGGCAAAAATTCACGCGGGCAATGTTAAAGGGATGCTACTGCAGTTGTGGTGTAAAAATTGAACGTTGGCACCTCTGAGTTACAGATGAGTGGCAAGTGCTAGGAAGCCATCTGATCACTGTTCATTGATCCCTGGTGGAATGTACAAGTATGTGTTGTTATAATCCCAGTTGATGGTATTCTTGCACAATTCAAATCACAATGTGAAACCTGGTTTGATAGGTCATAAAATTAATTTTGCAGTTGGTTACCATGGTAGTTAGTCACTGAATATATTCACAAAAAGATGTGAATGTTCTTTAACAAAACAACACAAACTTATACACAAAACAAAACAATCCAGATCAACAGTTTAGAACAATCTTTATTTTGTTTTGCTGATTATGTTTCAATCCTTCTCCCCAGCATTATCCTTTACAGATACTCAATCCCACTGAAGTGTCACTCCTATCTTAACTTTTTAATTTCTTACTTAATTGACTCTTTCCAGTTTTGATGGCACAGACACTTCTTTCCAGTTCTGATGATGACCTGGATTCCTTTTCAGCTCTGATGGCATAGAAATTCTTTTCCAGTGTTGACAGCTTGAAAACTTTGACACAGACTCTCACATCTCAGAATCATCTCGAAACTAAATCCTTCTGGTAGGGTTATATTGTACTGAAAACCTGGTTCTTCTGAAATGAAACCTGATTTTGAACTTAACTCTGAGTAATAGTCTATATGTTGTTACGTGTCAAATGGGGTACCATGCTGGAAGTCAAGCCCTGTTATTCCTGGAATTGTCACTAAAGTTAAAAATTTGATCAAAGCATACAAAGTCCCCGATTTATGTGTCAGATAGACCCAGACTAACAGAAAAGATGGCCCGGGCTTCTGTACTGAACAAGAACTACTATTTATTACAAATAAATAGATTCTAACCATTGGTAAACAACTATGAACTGTTGACATTTAGCTCTACTAGTTAATTCTCTAATGCATTTCTAGAACACCCTATGCATTTGCGGACAGACAAAAAATTTGGTGTTATGGGTAGAGGAGAAAAAAAGGGAAGCATTTCGTGGCCCCAGTCCACAGGGTTCGCTGAGATGATACTTTTGCTTGCCAGGATTTCCTCTTCAATTTTTTTTCTCTGCAGATTTTTTTCACTGTTTTGCAGGTGGCATAGACTACTGTTATATTAACTGTAAAGTCTATGGTTACCAGTTAAAGGCCACAGCTTACAGCAACTAATGGGAGAAAATAGCTGGCTTTCTTCAAACTTCAGGTATTTTACAGGAGAGTAAGGCACAACATTACCCTTACTGCAGTCGAAGGCTACTGTCAGTATTGTTCATTCAGCTACCCAGGAGCCAATCAGATAGGCCATCAACCTGACAACAACTATGTCACGTGTAATCAGTCACAACTCTATAAACCAATCAGCAATATGTTGATAGCCAAATCAGACTTTGTACACACCTCCTGATCCTGCCCGTCTACAAATAGTCTCCCTCCACTGTTTGGATAAAGCAGCAGTGTAAACACGACCTACTTGCTTTTAAACAGTGTGGAAATTCCTTCCACAATCCTTGGTTTTAAACAGTCATTTCCCCATTTCCACAATCAAAAGTACAGAAAAATAGAAAAATATGAAATTTGCATGCATCCACCCTTATAAGATGAAATGTGATTTCAAAAATGCATTTTATCAGAAGATATGTGATACACAAACAGCAAAACATGAGAATCTTATCCTTTCATCCCCCCCCCCCCGTGTGCACACATACACGTACACGCACGCACACACTTGTAGCATTTCTTAAACCTTTAACTTCTTCCATCATTTTACACCCAGGTCAATGCATCCTCTGTGACTGGCTGATCTTAAAATGTGATCTAAGGCAGTTAGTGCAAATATATCGTTCGACTGTAGAGGCTCAGCTGAGCCCCAACCTGTCCTCAACCACTTGGATCCTGGGTCTTTTACAGTTGAGCCTGCAGTTGGTGCTGAACCCAGTCATCCAATGAGCAAAGCTGCAACTCCCCTTGTTTACTTTTTAGTTTTGCTGTACAGCTTATTCCCAAAATAACCAAAACAGAAAACAGCCAAACCCCATCATGGGGTGGGGAGGCTTATATTTATCCTTCACCATGAGACAGAGATTCCAAGTGTTCAATTGTATTTGACAGGATGTGAAAAACTCAGTTTATTATGCATTCAGGAAATCACAGGGGCAGTGTTGGAAAAGCACACAGTGAGAGTATCAAGGTAAAGTGTCGATGAATTCACTGCTATTGCCAGAAGTTTCACTAGCTGAAAATTCTTAAATGTAACTAAGCAGATCCTTGTTGTTCAAGAACCTCTTTTTTTTTTTTTATGTATCATTTTATTTCCAAAGTAAATTCTTCTTCTTTGGACTTGCATCTACCATTTGAAAATTTCATTGATGGGATGTGAGCATTGCTGACAAAGGCAAACATATATTGCTCCTCCTTAGTTGTTCTGGTAACATTGAGCCGCTTTCTTGAACCATTGTAGTGCACACAGAACTACCCTACTCCCTGAAGTCTGTATTTGTGTCTAAAAGGGGCAACTGTCTGCTTTTAATGTTCTCTTTATTGTGCCCCTTCTGTCCAAGCTAGGAGACAGTGCAAATGACACTGAAGTGTTTCTGTCTTCAGCACAGCTGAGATTGCAAATAGTACAGATAATCCGTATCTTTCTGTCACTGTTTGATGCAAGAGCAGTGATTATCGTGGCACTGATGATTTAAGAGGTTTGCTTTTATTTTGGTAAGGAGGGGTATTTTAGACATTGCCAACTCCAGCTTCACAGACCAAGTTTCTGTTGGACTGATCCGAACTGCCCACTCATGACTAGTCTGTTGAACCTGAGTACAGGTGACCAGAGTTAATGCGCCTTTAATTGTTACACATTCGTTTCTGAGATCAATTGTAAGGATTAATATATTCTCAGTAGTTAACATTTAGTAAAAACTAAAATTCTAGAGATTCTTATTCAGTCAGTGAACTAATGCAATATGTTTTTATGATGTTGTACTTGGCTGTTAACTGTTTGAAACTGTTTAAAATTTTCATTGCAATTAGTCCATGGTCCAGGACTTTCTAGCCTAAAGCCCATATTTTTAACCATGAGATCTTCATATGAAAGATACTTATATAAACTATTTGGATGAGAATATAGGAAGCATGGTTAGTAATTTTGTGGATGACACCAAATTTGTTGGTATAGTAGACAGTGAAGAAGGTAATCTAGGATTATAAAGGGATCTTGATCAATTAGGCCAATGAGCTGAGGAGTGTAAGATGGAGTTTAATTTAGATAAATGCGAGGTGTTATTTTGGTAAGAAAGTTAGGGGCTCAGAAGCAAAAACCGAAATTGCTGGAAAAGCTCAGCAGGTCTGGCAGCATCTGTGGAGAGAAATCAGAGTTAACGTTTTGGGTCGAATGATCCTTCCTAAGAAGAGTTTTTGTTTATGATTTACAGCATCTGCAGTTCTTCACCTAGGGGTTCAGGTATGTAGTTCCTTGAAAGTTGTATCACAGGCAGACAGGATGGTAAAGAAGGTGTTTGGCATGCTTGCCTTCATTGCATACTCCACTGAGTATAGGAGCTGGGATGTCATGTTGCAGTTGTACAGGCTGTTGGTAAGGCCACTTTTCGAGTACTGTGTACAGTTCTGGTTGCCCTTCTATAGGAAGGATATTATTAAATTGGCGAGGGTGTAGAAAAGATTTACAAGGATGTTACTGGGACTGGAGGGTTTGAGTTATAGGGAGAGGCTTGATAGGTTGGGACTTTTTTCACTGGAGCATGGGAGGTTGAGGTGTGACCTCATAGAGGCTTATAAACTCATGAGGGGCATAGATAAGGTGAACAGCAAAGGTCTTTTCCCTAGAATAGGGGAGTTCAAAACTAGAGGACATAGGTTTAAGGTGAGAGGAGAAAAATTTTAAAGCGACCTGAGGGGCAACCTTTTCACACAGGGTGGTTCGTATGGTGAATGAACTGCCAGAGGAAGTGGTAGATGCAGGTTACAGTTACAGCATTTAAAAGATGTTTTGATAGGTACATGAATAGGAAAGGTTTAGAGGCATATGGCCCAAATTCAGGCAAATAGAACTAGTTTAGTTTGGGAAACTCAGTTGGCATGAACAAGTTGGACCGAAGAGTCATAGAGCACGGGAACAGACCCTATGTTGCATGTAGATCTTTAATTCCTTCAACAACAGAAACGTGAAAAAGATGGTGACAGACATGTGGACTCCAGCTGTGTAATCCTTGGGTTGCTCTGAGGTATTTTCATAAATGCTGACAGCCTCCTCTCTGAACACATAGATGGCAAATGGTAAGGGTTCTAGTCAGCACCCAGTGATATCCCAAGTTTCTGTTTGTAGGCAATGTATTGGTTTTTGCACACGGTTAAAGGAACACCATTTGAAACTCCAGACCAGGGTAAGGCACGATTACTTACACATTGGGAGCAAATGGATTATGGGATCCAGTTTACGTCTTCACGCAAGTTTCTCACCATCACTCCAATAATTCTGTAAGTCCTTCTTCTGTTTTCAGTACAACTGCTTTAATTGTTATAACAAATACGAAATCTGGGTCTTTATCGTGGCAGGAGAGGGAGAAAAAATTAACTTCAAGGTATTGGAGATGTCAGCCATGTGTTGGAGGATTGCACTCTTGCCTTTGAGTCATAATGTTGACGGGCATTAGCACAAAAACCAAATCTGACGCTTCCACTGGAATGCTGCACTACTGGAGTCTCAAAGTTGGAGGTAGTGCCACATTGTCAGAGGGGCAATATCATGGGAGTGCTGCACTGGCAGAAGGGCAATGCTGAGCTAGTGCTGCAATGTCAAGGGACAGAGGAGCCAGAGGTGAGTGGTTTTTTAAAAAAACAGGTAGATGAGGAGACTACTTTTTTTAAATACAGTGAACCATCTGGAACGTGTTGTTTGAAAGGGCACTGGAAGTAGATTCAGTAGTAACTTTTGAAAGGGATTTGGATATATACTTGAAAAGAAAAAAATATAGTGCTTTGTTACTCTGCCCCTCTAACAGTATGGCACTGGGAATATAGCAGGGAGAAAATAGGACTGAACAAAAAAGCTGGCACAGGCACAACAGGACACGTCTACCTCCTGTGCTGTGTAACTCTACCAATTAGCGTTTATAAGTGATAAACAATCGTTAAAGCTCTGTTTTCCTTCCAGGTATATGCTAGCAAGTTTCTACACTAAATATAACGTTGTTCATTTCCTGGTGAACACCACATCTTTGCTCACCGCACTCATTCCCAAACTCCCACAGCTGCATGGTGTCCGAATCTTTGGCATCAACAAGTATTGAATGGGTGCATGACCTCTGGGTGAATGCTGAAAGGTGATGCTGCCAGTAGCTCCAAACAACCTCAGAAAGGGACCAGCATGAGCAATGCGCACAATGTACTGAGACAATGGCTGATGAAGGAACTGCTGGCACTACCTCTTGAAACATCAACTGTTTTTCTTACTTGTGCAAGTGAAAGACTTTGTATGTATGAGTTTACTCCTGTGTATAAGCTGCTCATGTATAATTTTGTACTTTTTTTTTCTCCTTCTTTGCATTATATGTATACAATTAAAAGAGATTTACGTCAATAAGGGTTTGGAAGAGTGTTTGTGTATCTGAGGTAAAAGATTTAGAAAAGATTCACAAAACTTAGCAACTCTGCTCCCACCTCCATTGCCTCGTAGACCCCACCCAACTGATTGCTTCCTCTGCCATAATGGCACTTACTTTACTATCTGTAACTATGGCAGAGCTGCTGTTTGATCTTACTTGACCTCTCCTTGCAATCTTCTCTGGAACTCTCACTGAGCTGGGAGTCAGTCCTATTCCTTTATCTTGCACTTCTGCAAAGTAGTTATGCCGTTGCAGTAGTGTAGCTTTTATACAGTGTATAAAAGGGGTTGCATACAGTAATGTGACAGCGAGGGGTTCACAAGCCTGGTGTTGCTTTATATCGTAGCCCTTTCCATAAAGTGCTTGACTTTTAACACTACGTACAGTAGTATTCAAATTTCAACATCTCAACTCGTACTTAACTCAATTATTCACATTCCAAAGGTGAAAAAGCCCAGTGTTGAGCCCACCTGCATCTTATAAACTACTGATCCAAGGATTAATCAAATTCTTGTTTAGAGCTGTTTAAAAGGAGTTAATGCGAATACAATCTTGACTGGATTCCTAATCTACGTGTCCACAAGTTCAGCATGAGGTCTCAAGAATGGAAAAGTTTTGCTACTTATGAAATGAAATTGTTACATGCACTCTTTTATTACTGCTGGAACTGGAACTAGAAACTGAATTAATGCTGTTCCCATTATGGATTGACAAATGTCTGGAAGCACGAAGCAATGCAACAGTGAACTGAAATTGTTCAATTACTTTATCTTGAGGCACTGAACTACCGTTTTCTAATGTGTAGTGGATCACTTAATCTACTTAACAGAAATAAACTGTTCATTCAGTTTAACATTACTTGCAGTTATCAGTTAACCAAGCTGTCAGTTGCAGCTTGGTAGATAGCAATGTTTACTTGGAAGTTAAAAGGTATGGGTTCCAATCCTACTCCAGAAACTGGAGCACAAATAGCTAGACTGAAGTTCTAATGCTCAAAATTCCTGATGCCATCTTTCGGATAAAAGAATAAACCAAGTTCCAATCTGACCACCAAGGTGGGTGAAGATCCTTCGATTTTTTTTTTTTTTTGTTTTTTTGTTTTTTCAAACAAAAAGTGTCCTCTCCCAAACTCTGGGCAACACTCATCCCTCAGCCAGTATCAGTAAACCGATTACATCGCCATTATCACATTGTTGTTTGTTGGATCTTGCTGTGCAGTGACACCCACAAATTTCAAAAGCACTTCAGGCTATCTGAAGGTCGTGAAAGTTGGACTGTAAATACACTTTTACAAAATAAAGAACTCAATTGGACTTGTGTTTGAAGATCCCATGTTAAAGACCCACTCCAGGCTTTAAACGTGTGGTCACAGTTCAGTCACTCTGTTCAGTCACAAGGGGAGTACTGCATTGTTGGATCTCCAGTACTACGAATGAGATATTGAATTGTAGTCTGTTCTGATGAATATCATCTCAGATCACTACTGAACAAGAACTAGGGAGTTCTCCTGGTCATCATTCCTTGCTCAGTCAACACCAGATGGATTAACTACACACTGTTGCCTGTGGAATATTGCTGTGCAAATATTAGAAATTAGAATAATAAAACAAATGTGCTGAGGTACTAAATGTAGTGTTAGAACACTGTCCTTACATTTCCAGGCTTTGGGCTTAAAACCGTCCTGCACAGATTAAATGGATGTTTTAAATGAAATTCCTACATCCTTTTTTTAATCAGACTATGCCTAACGTGCACACATTCACAGTGCAAAAACTTGGCAAAATTTGAAATTTTACTCAGCAGAAACATAAAGAAAATAATTTGAGGCAAATCTACTTTGAAAATAAAAAACGCAAAGTGCTGCAAATATTTCACCAGTTCAAAACCAACTGAAGGCGCATTTCAAAAGAAGCTAAATACTATGGATGCTGGAAATCTAAACTAAAAACAGAGAGTTGGAGAAACTCAGCTGATCTGGCAGCATCTATGGAGAGAGAAACAGAGTGAATGTTTTCGAGTCCAGTATGATTCAACTTTGTAACTAAAGGTATAATTCAGCTGGGATTTTTACTCATACTGTATTTATCCTTCTGGGATTATTAAACAGAGAAAGGGATTTCAGATAATGATCTGGCTAGGAGGGTGAATAGTTGTTAATGGGGACTGTTAGTGATTAACAATAGGTAGTGTGTTATGGCAGGCTATGTGATAACAAGGCCTGCTGTATGGGGTAGGGGGTTAGGCCACGGGAGAATTTAGGCCCTAAAATTATTGAACTCGATATTGAGTCCGGAGGGCTGCAGGGGCCCATGTGGACAACGAAGTGTTGTTCTTCCAGCTTATGCTGGGCTTCGCTGGAATGTTGCAGCAAGCCAAAGACAGAGATGTTGGCCAGGGAACAGGTTGGCATGTTAAAGTAGCAGGCAACAGGTAGCTCAGGGTCTTTTTTGCGAGCAGAATATAGATGTTCTGCGAAGCGGTTACCCAGTCTACACTTCGTTTCCCCAATGTAGAGGAGACCACATTGTGAGCAGTGAATGCAGTAGACTAGATTCTGGTGAAATTTTACTTTATCTGGAAGGTATGTGGAATGGAATCCTGACAAAGTAGTCATTTACATGCATTACGGTGTCCATTGGCATCCTCACTAGGAAATTATAAATCACCATAGCAGGCATGTGTCTTTAACAACTTTTTGTATCTCTTCTCGATTACTCAAATATCTGACAACCTAATTGTTGGTTTGCCAGATTAAACCAAAGCCTCATATACCCTCTCAGATGGGCATAATAGTGCCAAGAGATTTTTTTGGAAGACCATGGGTTCTTCCTGGCTATCAACATCTATATAACTGCTGTTTTTGGGAGCTTATTATGTACGAATTGGCTGCTGTTTTACCTAAATTACACCAGTTACTACACTTGGACAGTCAGGAGCTTTTTCCCAGGGTGGAACAGTCAGTTACTAGGGGCCACAGGTTTAAGGTGTGAGGGGCAAGGTTTGAATGTGATGTATGAGGCAGGTTTTTTTTACACAGAAGGTGGTGGGTGCCTGGAACTCACTGCTGCGTGAGGTAGTGGAAGCAGATACAATAGTGACTTTTAAAGGGCGTCTTGACAAATACATGAATAGGATGGGAATAGAGGGATATGGTCCCCAGAAGGGTAGGGGGGGTTTTAGTTGTGACGGGCAGCATGTCGGTGCAGGCTTGGAGGGCCGAAGGGCCTGTTCCTGTGCTGTAATTTTCTTTGTTCTTTGTACTTCAAAGTATTTCAATAGCTGTAAAGTTCTTTGGAACAGCCTGTGATCATGAAAGTAGTATAGAAAGGCAAGTTCCTTACTGTAAAACAGTGGAGGGTAAGGCATAATTGGGATCTAAAGATACAAAATTCTTAATACCATTTTAAAAATACACTCCATTAGAGAAAAAGTCTACACTTTGGTAATGCAATCTGCATTTTATTTTCACTCTTGAAAAGGTTCTGGCCAACAAGAGATTGTGTTGGGATCTACAGCCTTTTCAAATCAAATAAACAAAGGTCCAATCTGTGAACCCACCAAATTACACAGCTTTAAATTTGTCGATTGTCACCTAAAAATTAGCTCTGTAACTTCAACAATGCTCACAGGTAATGGTCAGCAGAACCTTGTGAATAACAACTTACAAACTTCTACATCAAACAATCTGGTCATAAATGTCAACAATTTTAAATTACCTGTTCAACCTTAAATATCTTAGTTCATCTAAAAGGGGCAACCTATTGTCAAAAAAATCAGGGTCAGAAACAAAATGAGTGATTTTAGACTTCATAAAATGAAATTAAAACAGAAATGCTGGAAACACAGCATGGCAGGCAGCATTTGTGGACAGCACAAGAGTTAATGCTTTAGGTTGTTGACCCTCTAGCAGATGTTTACAAAATTCCTCCCAATATAATTCTCTTATTAAATTCTTTGCCACAACTGACAACACCACAGTGAAATGTGCCTTTGGCAACAGACACACCATTTTATTCTTGGAATGCCACAGATTGATTTATTTGTACAGGCACCATTAAGGTGCTTGAGAAAAGTTGGGGGGATTGTCATCAGGAAGCACTTTTAAGATTGCTGTGCAATTTTCATGTTATGTGACTTCAAGCTACACAATCCTGACTTTCAACATGCCTTTGTAAGCCGTTTACAGCCAAAAGAATGTTGCCCCCTCCTCCAAAATGGACTATAGAAAGAAGGAAGCAAAAGGGAAAAGTAGAGTAAAAGATTTTAAGTGTAAAACATTAAAGTTTAGTTAGGATTTAAAAAGTAAAACTAAGTGTATAGTAAACGTTTTGGTTTTTTTTAGCAAAAGCATTTAATATCATGTCAATATTAATTACAAGTCTATTCCTGATGCATGGATAGATTTCATTGTACTAGCATTTGTTTCACTTAATTTAGAATCATAGCAGTGTGCAAGAACTATCTGATTAATAATAAAGTTATAATTATTGTTTCAATGCACTTATTCAAGTACAATTCCCAAACTCCAAGGACTGTCCCCTCCCTGATCTCCACCATACCAAATTACCACCTGTTTTTGGAACCCTCCCAACCAAATTCATCTTTACTACAAAGTATACTGTTCTGCTTTTTTTAAGCCTTTCTTCATCCCAGCTCTACATTAACCATCCTCCTCTTCACCTCCATGTTCATTAGCACCTCTCCCATTCAACAACAGCCCATCTCCTTCAACACTATAACCTTTCCTCAAACCCCTCCAATTAGCACCTTTTCTCAAATCATTCCCCTTTAAAGATCCTCACAATGCTGTCTCACAGTTACACTCGCACCTCCTTATTCTACTTCCAATATAGATTCTGCTTTGCCCATGACACTGAGACTGCACCTGTCAAAAGTTCAAAATAATGTGTGACAATAGCCATGACGATACTCAAACACATGCCTCCTTCGAGTACAACTCTCCAAATTTATCATTATGTTAAATGGGCTTTCTGTAGTTTGAACAGAGTGTTTGAGACACTGATTGAGACCATCTTTTGAAACTCAGGATGTTCAGATACACAATCAACTGGCTCCAATGCAGATATCTCAGTTCACCAGATTATTCAATTATCACAGGGTGGTAATTTAGCATCACAGGCATACTGCACATATGAAACTGGGAAATTCTGAACACAGGCATTAAGGTGGGGTCATCTCATATGCAAGTTATTGTGGAAAGCAGGACTGTAGCTCACTCTGTGGAACACACACCTGCTCTCGTGGGCTGCCTGTACTGTCTTCTTCAATCCCAGTCCTGTCCCTCGTTTAAGCAGTGCCAGAAAGGTGAACAGTAAGCATGCATTTAAATCAAATGTTCTACTGACTGGGAACTGATAGGATGTTGTATGTGGTTCATAGACTTTGTTTGCCAAACACTAGTCATTTTATAGGTGGGCACCTTTTGTAAAATTTCACAAGCTTTTAACACCTCTCACTGTTAATTAGAGAATTTTTGGCTTGATTCCCAGAGAAAGGTGGTTAAATCTTCAAGTACTGATAAAGGTTTACAGTGCGGAATTGAAATTTTACCTATAAATGTCCACGTCAGTCCCAGCCGTGGAGCTATGAACACAGATGATGCTAAGATTACTTTGTATTCCTGGACTGAATTAAAGCCAGTGTTAATATTGAGTATCTCATTTGTGTTGCAAGGCATTTCATACTCATGGTGTTCCAATTATAGAAAGATTTCTATACACATCCATAAAACATATTACTCTTGTTACTGATCAGTATGTGTTTCATTACCGTGTAAGACAATATTATCTTTGTAGAAGATTGAGGTACACAGAACAGGCGTGAGAAGAGAATGAAAGGCAAGATGTTAAAGGTAGGGTACACAGCCAGCAAAGGACTAAAAAGGAGCACAAGTCAATCTTTCTTTTTATGGTAAAGTTATTAACCAAAGGTTCTTATTTTCTGTTTATAAGATTGTGTATGATTTCTGCAGCACAGTAAATTTTTAAAACTTACAATTTCTTTTGTATCTGATCTCCCAAACCACAATAAATGTGCTCAATTTTACACTCTTAACGAATTATTTTCTAGTCTCTTCCTTTGTGTGTAAAAGTGCTCTGTCTTCTGGTGGAAATTAGGCCATCAGACAAACGTACTGTTTTACTCCATTCTTTCTGCAGTGCAGAATTTTCCCCATTAAAAATGATTAGGAGAACTTAAGAACTCAGGAGAAGTTAGAGACCACCAGAACCACCCTCCACCTCCCCCAAAAGGAAAAAATAACATTTGAAGTGAATAAAGCATTTTTAAGAAGTCACCTATTGGGTTATATTCATTCTGTTGAAACCAGAAATTAATTTGTTGCTATTTAATTCAAGTTAAAAAGTAAAGTCCTCAAGATCACCTTAGTTGCTATTGTACATTCAAATTAAAATGTTAAAAACAAGGTACAGTCCAAATGTATTCATACAATTCAATAAAAGAGGGCTTTTATTTGCCTTTGCTCTACTCTAGAATCATGGTTGTCCTTCAGTCAGGTTGCCATTAAGCTGACTGAGGTGATCGCTGAGGTTTGTTTTTGCACTTTTAAGGCTCAGCGTGGGAATGTTCGTCGCACCTTCTTCCTGCGCTTTTGCTTTGTTTCGGTTCTTTGTGCAGCCTCTGCTTTGGGCTGACTATTAGGCCTTGGCTGCGGAGGGCTAAAGAAGCTCCCATTCACTGTTTGAGATCCAGCACCCCGGAAAATCTTGCTGAAGAAATCTTGGAGGTCAGTGGGAGGACTTGGGCCGTTCTCGGAACTAGCTCTAAACAAGAGGGAGACAAGAGGTATTACAATCCATGTTTCTTTTTTCCCCTCCCCCTCTCCAAATAGCAGCAACCATCCTGATTTGGAAATATATTTGTAAACATCCTCAACTAGCAGTCTGCTAGATTCACTTCAAGAAATTCTCACGTGGAGGGCAGTTGTGTCACATGTAAATTCTTTGGCCTGGACAGACAGACATCAATGCTGTTGTTGACCTGACTGTTAAAAAGGTAGCATGAGAGGAGTTTGAGCTTAATTTTTTTTAATGCCCTCCTTATGGGCAGCATTTTGTCATTCACCGACCTTTGCAGGAGCATAGGTAAGACAGACAGTGCCCATTCCCTCCACTTGTGGTTAGTGAAAAAATTAGTGTGGCTTTTTATTAACAAAGAGAACTATACTCTATTAGTAATCTGAGAGCTTGGAACACGACCTGTCCAGATTGCTATCTGAATAATATGACTTTTACAGACCACAGAGATTCACACAAGTTTTTTCTCAACTATTATTAGAATAAACTCTACACAATTTGCACCTCCAGTAAGGTACAACTGTTTAAAAAAGATAAATTCAACTCATAGGTGTGCTTTGCAATTAAATTTGTATTACCCAATGTGTCATGCTCCACTGAACCACTCAAAACATGACTATTGTGTGTAGCCATGATGCTAGCACCTTTGTAACTTGACATCAGGATTTTCCTAGATGGTTCTGGAGGTAACTGCACATCAGTAGGTTCCAGCTTTGATCCTTAGTATGTACCATGTCAGCAGATCTCAATAATATAGGTAGAATAGCTTCAGCTCCTCTAGGCCAAGAGAAAACAACTATAAAAAGACACGTTCTCACTTCTGATCACATTCCAATGAAGCCTGCCAGCAAGTGTCCATGTGATCTGTCTAATGCCCTTGCTGTCCAATAGTTGAGTAACACAAGCGAAGAGCACACATGGAACTATACCTAAGTAACAGTGGGTGTTTTCAAGAGTGGAGAGAAAACAAAATTAGATGGTGGTCAGGGTGGGGGTTTGTTATTTACATACTAAAAACATTAAACGGTATGAGATATAAACCAAGCAAGATTTGTTGCTACATGACCCAATTCCATGTTGTGAAATTATTGGGTTGCTTTATGCTCTAGGATAATATCAATAGCGAATGTACTGACTCTCTCAGGTAACTTAGGCAGGAAAGTTTTTTTAATTAATTCAGGAGACCTGGGCTTCATCGAGTTGGCCAGTATTTCGTGGCCATCCCTAGGTGCCTTTGAGAAAGCAGTGGTGAGTTGCCTTCTTGAACTGCTGCAGTCCATTTGGTGCAGGGCCACTCACAATATTGTTAGGGAAGCAGTACCGGGATTCTGATCCAGCGATGCTAAAGATGCAGTGACATATTTCCAAGTCAGGATGGTGAGTTGCTCAGAGTGGAATATTCAGGTGATGGTGTTCCCATGCATCTACTGCACTAGTCCTTCTAGATAGAAGTGGTCATGCGTTTGCAAGGTGCTGTCTAGAAAACCCTGATGAAGTTCTTCATGAACGAACTAACCTAAAACTTGCATAATTGAAAGAAAAGAAAATCAGTCCTTTGGCAAGAGATTTTCTGAAGAAGGGTCTCGACCCGAAACATCAGATTTCCTGCTCCTCTGATGCTGCTTGGCCTGCTGTGTTCATCCAGCTCTACACCGTGTTATCTCTTTGGCAAGAGCAATTTGCTTTAAGTTATTCTGAGAATACCTGAACTGAGAAATTAGTGAAGTTGTCTGAACCCGCTCTTTGCAACAGTCCGCAGAAAGAGCAAAGCGTTTATGTGCATTTTATTGCCCACATTATTGCCTATCCAGGGAGATTTTTAAAAAGTATCCATTCTTAAGATGTGGGCACTGACAAGAGGCCCATCTCTAGTTGCTCAAGATGGGAGCTTTTGAAATGATGCAAATATACAGGCTGCTTAGCCACTGCAGAAGACAGGTAAGAGTTAACCATGTTGGCATTGGTCTTGGGTAAAGTTGCAGGTGTCCTTCCCTAAAAAACAATAATGAGGCCATTTGGGTATTAAAGGCAACTGGAGAGCAATTGCAGAGCTTCAAGACAGCAGCAAGAGGCAGCAGAGAATAAATTGAGGCAGAGGTTCTGGGACCCAGCACTTTAGCTTCAAGATAGCAGAGAGACGATACAGCAGATGATAAAATGAGGCCCAGGCCTGGGGCTACAGCTTCTAGAGAACATCCAACTGGGGGAAAAAAAAATTAAGCAACAACACAGAGATGGTGGGTTGATTGGTTTACGAGTAACTGTTGTTTGGGACTGTGTATATATGATTACTTACCTACAACCATTACAACTATTAGTAATTGTAAGATCTTTATCTGCATTGGTGAAATTTACAATTCCCAATCAGTTAAGTACTGCCAGTAATATTTATTAATTAACACAAGAAATCTGGCAGTGCAGATGATGTGCTGTGACTGCAGGCTGCTGGAACTTCTGGATGCCAGCATGATTAAGGATAAATCCATCTGCAGCTACAGGAACATCAGTTCAGAGTCATTAGGCTGAATTCTGAACCACAGACATTGTACATCAGGGAGGGGAAATCACCTGAATACTTTATTCCAGGAGGCAATCACACCCCCCTTAGGATTTGGCCAATGATCAGGGACAGGAAAGCGTGACTGAGAGTGATGAAGGCAAGGAATGCAGGAGCCTTGACTTTGGCAATTGTCCAACATGTTTGAGGTCAGACGTTTCACCACAAAAACAAGCCAGCTCGGTGAGCAAGTCAACAACCTCACCCACAACCCGAGCTACAAATCTGTGCTAAAACTTTAAATGTTTGAGGTCATTTCAGCTCGTTTGGATGAAAGTGTAGGTTTCAGGGTAGATGATCTAACTGACAAAAGTACCACAAATACAGGAAGCCATTCAAGTACGAAGAGCAAAAAGGAATGTAGCAGTAGAAGGAGGGAGATTGACATTTTTCTTTCTTCTCACTCACTGACCCGGCCAGCATTTATTGCCCATCCTTAGTTGCCCTTGAGGTGATGATGGTGGTGAGCTGCCTTCTTGAAACACTGCAGTCTGTATGCTGGAAGCAGACCCACAGTATTGTTCAGGAGTTCCAGGATTTTGACCCAGCAACACTGAAGTAATGGCAATATATTTCCAAGTCAGTACAAGGAGTGGTTTGGAGGGGAACTTGGAGATGGTAGTGTTCCCATGTACCTGCTGCCCATGGCCTTCTAGATGGTAGCGATTGTGGGTTTGGAAGGTGCTGTCTAAGGATTTTTGGTGAATTTCTGCAGTGGATCAACACTGAATGTCAGTGTTGGAGGGAGTGGATGTTTGTGGATATGGTACTGATCAAGTGGGCTGCTTTGTCTTGGATGGTGTCATGCTTTTTGGATGTTGATGAAACTCCAGACAAGTGGGGAGTATTCCATCATACTCCTGACTTATGCCTTCTAGATGGTAGATATGCTTTTGTGGAGTCAGGCGGTGAGTTACTCATTGCCATATTCCTAGCCTCTGATTTTCTTTTGAGGCCACTATTTATATGGTTAGTCCAGTTGAGTTTCTGGTCAATAGTAAGCCCCAGGATGTTGATAGCAGGGGATTCACTGATGGTAATGCCACTGAATGTCAAGGGGTAATTGTTGGATTCTCTCTTGCTGGAAATGGTCATTCCCTGGCATTTGTGTGGCATGAATGTTACTTTCCCCATGTAAGCCCAAGCCTGGATATTGTCCAAGTGCACCAAGACCTGGACGTGGACTGCTGCAATATCCAAGGAGTCACAAATGGTGCTAAACATTGTGCAATCATCAGCGAACATCCCCACTTCTGATTTTATGATAGAGGGAATGTCATTAAATAATACAGCTGAAGAGGTTGGCCAAGGACATGACTCTGAGGAACTCCTACAGAGATGCCTTGGAGCTGTGATGACTGATCTCTAATACTCACAACGACCTTCCCTTGTGCCAGATATGATTCCAACCAGTGGAGCGTTTTCCCTGATTCCCACTGACTCCAGTTTTGCTTGGCTCCTTGATGCCACATTCAGTCAAATGCAGCCTTTCATTTTACCTCTGGAATTCAGCTCTTTTGTCCATGTTTGAACCAAGGCTATAATAAAGTCAGGAGATGAGTGGCCCTGATTGATGCCAGGTTTGGGTTCTATCAGGTTATTGGTGAACAAGTGCTGCTTAATAGCACAGTCGCTCACTGCAGCAAAGTGGGCAAATCCAGACAGCTGTGCTATGTGTCCAGTACCCAGATTCAGGATATCTGCTCTGGGTTGGAGAAGAACTCGCAATGGGAAGCGAAGGATCCAGTTGTCAAGGCACATAGGTAGACCTAGGAAAGAGGTTCTGCTGAGGGAGTATGAGAAGGTAGGCACTAAATTACTCAAAAGGACAATAATAATGTTATCTCAGACAATAACATTACTGAGCTATGTTTAAATTCATATATCAGGCAAAAGAGAGTAATGACTGTTTGGCTCAAAGTGTTATGTGGGAGAAGTGGTTTCCAGTGGGACACTGGCACCAGTATTGGAGAAAGTGGGATGTATCTTGTTGGGTACGCCTGAACTGTGTTGGGACTGATATACACATAACTAAGGAAGTAGAGAGGGTTTTAAACTTGGATAGTCATAGTTAATCAAAAAGGTAGAGTTGAAGCAGGAGAGCAAAGTAGTAACATGTTAAATAAAAGGTCAGAGAATGGCTGGAAGAGACAGAGAGAATAAATTGAATACATTAACAGTTGGGACTAGATGTTAGAAAGATAACAAAAGACAAAACTAAAGGCTCTGAATCTGAATCTGAAATTAATTGATAGCACACAATGGAATAAATAAATATGATAGCCATTAGAGAGACGTGGCTGCAGAATGACAAGGAGTGGTTCCTGAATATTGAGGGATATGAGACATTCAAGAAAAATAGGAAGCTCGGTAAAGGTGGAGGGGTAGCACTGTTAATCAGTGCAGTAATTTGTGCAGTAGTTAAGAGATGATCTTGATTCAGGAAATCAGGATGTCAAACTGATTTGGGTGGAGATGAGGAATATGTTACTAGTGGACATTGTCCTACATTGTGGTTATTAGACCAAGTATACAAGTATACTGGGTGCTTGTGATAAAGGGACGGCAATAATCATGGGTGACTTTAATCTATATATTACTGGAAATATTGGATTGGCAATGGTAGCCTGGGTGAGAAGTGCATAGAATGCTTCTGAGTTAGTTTCTTAGAACAGCATATTTGGAACCAACCAGACAGCAGGTTATGTTGGACTTGTATTGTATAATGACTTCAGAGTTAAGCAGCCTCTAGGCAGTTGCAGCCACTATGGGATTGTATCTTACGTCCTGTTTGAAAGGGAGAAGAGTGGGTCTAAGATTAGTATTTCAAATTTAAATAAAGGCCACTATATAGACACGAGAGCTGAGCTACCAAAATGAAATGCAATACTAGGTTTGGAGATAGATCAACAGAAAAAACTGCGGCCGCCAATTAAGGCGATATTTTAAAATACTGAGAATAAGTATATTTCTACTATGAAGAAAAATTTGAAAGGGAGGACCCACCACCCATGGTTAATTAAGAGTGTTATGGAAAGCATCAACTTAACAAAAAAAGCAGACAACTGCGCAAAGATGAGTGGCAAGCTGGATGATTGGTCAGAATATAAAGAATGGCAGAGAATGGCTAAAAGATTAATCAGGAAGAAGAAATTAGAGCAGGACAGGAAATGTAAAAAATAGATCGCAAGAATTTCTACATGTATTTACAAAGGAAAAGAATAAATAAAATGAGTGTTGGTCCTCTAATAAGTGAGAATGGAGAGTTAAATAGCAGATTAGAAGGCAATAGTGAATGAAATGAACAAATATTTTGCTTCTGTTTTCACTAAAGAGGATACAAAATTCATCCCAGTAATAGCTATAAATCAGGAGGTGGAAAGAAAAGAGGAACTTGGTAAAATTGCAATCACCAGGGAAGCATCACAGAGCAAACTGATGGAGCTGCAAGCTGACAAGTTCCCCAGGTCCTGATGGACTTCATCTTAGGGGTTTTAAGAGGTGGCTAATAATGCAGTAGATACATTGGTGCTAATTTTCCAAAATTGGAGATATTCTGGAAAGGTTCCATCAGACTTAAAAGTAGCATACATATGTCCCCTCCATTTAAGGGAGGGAAGCAGAAAACAGGAAACTATAGGCCAGTTAGCTTGATGACTATTGTGACAAAGGTGTCAGAAATGATCGTTAAGGAGGTCATAGCTGGACACTCAGAAGAAGGTGGTTATTGGGAAGAGTCAACATGGTTTTGTAAAAGGGAAATTATGTTTAACCAATTTATCGGAGTTCTCTGAAGGAGTACCATCTAGTGTGGACAGGAGGGCAGTGTATTGACGTACTGTATTTTGATTTCCAGAAGGCATGTGACAAAGTACCACACAAAAAGATATTGCATAAAGTAGAAGAACAAAGTGCAAGGGATAACATATTAACAAGCACAGAAGATTGGCGTCGTGCAGAGATTTGTGCTGGGGCCTCAAGTTTTTACAATCGATACAGGACATTGGTGAGACCACATCTTGAAT